CCCCGTCTCTACTAAAATTAGAAAGAAATTAATTGGACAACTAAAAATATATAGAGAGAAAATTAGCCGGGCATGGTGGCGCATGCCTGTAGTCTCAGCTACTCGGGAGGCTGAGGCAGGAGGATTGCTTGAGCCCAGGAGTTTGAGGTTGCTGTGAGCTAGGCTGACGCCACGGCACTCTAGCCCGGGCAACACAGTGAGACTCTGTCTCAAAAAAAAAAAAAAAAAAAACCACAACGTGATATCACCTCACACCTGTTTGAATGGCTACTATAAAAAAAGGAAGTAAGTGTTGGCAAGAATGTGGAACCTGTGTGCACTGTTGGTGCGAATGTAAAATGGTGCAGTCACTGTGTAATATAGTCTAGCAGTTCCTAAAAAAATAAAAATAGAACTACCATATGATCCAGCCATTCCACTTCTGGATATATGGCCAAAAGAATTGAAGGTAGAGTCTCAAAGAGATACTTGTGCACCCATGTTCGTAGCAGCATTATTCACAATAGTCAAAGGTAGAAGCAACCCAAGCATCCACAGATGAATGGGTAAGTAAAATAGGGTATGTACACACAATGGAATATTATTCAGCCTTAAACAGGAAGGAAATCCTGTCACATGGATGCACATTGAGGACATCACGCTAAGTGAAATAAGCTCGTCACATAAGGACAAATGCTGTATGAATCTTCTTATGTGAGGTACCTAGAGTACTCAGATTTGTAGAAACAGAAAGGTTATTAAGTACAAAATGTCCAATTTCCTTAAGTACTAAGCTTGACAGTTGACATCTCTGACATTTCACTTTGACACCTCCTATTTTTATTGTGCAGGTACATCCTCAGTCTTTCAAATGCACATTTTGGCTTGTGATTATCTTTCAAATTTTTTATAGCAATTTTTGGGAAACCATGGATAAGTCAAAAATTCATGTTATTTTCAAATATGAGTTCCATTGTGGAAACAATGCAGCGCAGACAGCTGGAAATATCAACGAAGTGTTTGGGAGGGATGTGGCTAATGAATGCACAGTACTTCGATAGTTTGAGACGTTCTGTTCTGGTGATTTTAATCTGGAACATGAGCCATGTGGGTGACTTGAGACCAAGGTGGATAATGATGAGCTGGAAGCTGTAGTGGAAGCGAATCCATCTCTACCTACGCGTGAATTATTATTAGTAGGAAGGTTTGACATTACTATTCCAACAATATTGGACCATTTGAAACGAATCAGCAAGGTAAAGAAGCTGGATAGATGGGTACTGTATGAATTAAACAAGCATCAGAAGAGAAATCGTCTTGAAGCTTGCCTTTCATTGCTACCGGGACATAAAGGCAAACCATTTCCACACCGTATTGTGTGTGGAAAATGGATTCTTTTTGACAATCAGGTGTTTGGCACAGTGGTTGGACAAAGATGAAGTGCCAAAACACAGTCCAAAACCAAATATTCATCAAAAAAAGCTAATGTCTGTTTGGTGGTCCAGCGCTGGTATTATCCACTACAGCTTCATGAAACCTGGTCATCTATTGTGGCAGATGTCTACTACAACTAATTGGACAAAATGATGAGGATGCTTTTGATTAAGCAGCCCAGATTGGCCAATAGAGACAGGCCAATCCTCTTGCAAGACAACACTCGACCACATCACACAAGCATGCTGCTCAAACTACAGAGGCGGGACTTGGAAACTCTGTCATCCGCTGTATTCACCAGACCTTGCACCAACTGACTACCACTTCTTCCAGTCTTTGGACCACTTCTTGCAAGGAAAAATATTCAATCCTCAACAAGCTGTGGAAAACACCTTACGCGATTTCATCGCCATTCACTCTCCAGGCTTCTTCACTGCTGGCATAAGCAAGCTACTGTCAAGACGGCAAAATTATGTCTATAGATTAGGTGCATACTTTGATTAATTGTCCTGCTGCTTGTTTGAGATATAATAAACTACACTTTTGATTTGAAATCAGACATTTCATATTTAATGACCTGTAGAATGGTGGTTTTAGGGGCTGGAGAAAAGAGGAAATAGGGAGTTGTTTAATGGGTACAGTGTGTCAGTTTTGTATAATGAAAAAGTTCTGGGCCAAGTGTGGTGGCTAGTGCTTGTAAGCCCAGTACTTTTGGGAGGCCGAGGGAGGAGGATCACTTGAGGCCAAGAGTTCAAGACCAGCCTTGGTAACATACCGAGACCCGGTCTCTACAAAAAACTTAAAAATTAGCTGGGTGCTGTAGCGCGTGCCTGTAGCCCTAGCTACTTGGAAAGCTGAGGCAGGAGGATCACTGGAGCCCTGGAGTTTGAGGTTACAGTAGTAAGCTATGATCATGGCACTACATTGCAGCCTGGGAAACAGAGCAAGACCCTACCTCAAAAAAAAGAAAAAAAAAAAAAGAAAGAAACAAAAGAAAAGAGGCTGGGCATGGCAGGAGGATTGCTGGAGCTCAGGAATTCAAAACCAGCCTGAGCAAGACACAGACCCCGTCTCTACTAAAAATAGAAAAATTAGTCAGGCGTTGTGGTGTGCACCTGTAGTCCCAGCTACACAGGAGGCTGAGGCAGGAGGATTGCTTGAGCCCAGGAGCTTGAGGTTGCAGTGAGCTACGATGACACCATTGCACTCTACCCAGGGGTACAGAGTAAGACTCTGTCTCAAAAAAAAAAAAAGAAAAAAAGAAAAAAGAAAAAAGAAAAAAAATGTTCTGGGGATCTGTTTCAGAACAACCTAAATGCTCTTAGCACCACTGAACTGCATGCTTAAAAATGGTAAATTTAATTTTGTGACTTCTTTAACATGATTTAAAAAAATGAAAAAGAAGGGGCTGCAATGGCCATTTAGCCCTATCTTCCGAACTCATAGATGAGAAAACTGAGGCCCAGAGAGGCGTGCCTTTGCCCAGATACACGGCCCTGGCGGGACTCCAATTGGGACAGGCTTGGCAGACAGTGTGATCAGAGGAGCAATGCACAAGGCCCAGTCCGTCTACCCTCAGAGGCTGGGATTGGTGCTGGCTTTTAAGAGGTGGCCAAGGAGGGCTAAAGTGACTCACATGTGCCAGGGAGCACTTAGAGGCCCAAGTGGGTTATCTAGAAAATTCATTTAAGAGGAACAATGCCTGTGTGGCTGAAGTCAGCTAACCCTCCCCAGGCAGCTCGGAGAGCCAAAGCCCTGAGCTCCTCTGGGGAGAGCCACCCAGCCTGGGGTAGAGTGTGGGAAACAAACCTGGATTCAAATTCTAGCTCTGCCACTGCCTGAGCCTGTTTCTACATCTTTTTTTTTTATTTCAGGGCATTATGAGGGTACAAACATTTTGGTTACATTTTATGTCTTTACCTCACACAAGCAAGGGTTAGAGGCATGCCCTTCCCCTCTACAATGCTCACCGCATCCTTTAGTTGTGAGTTTACCCCCCCATCCCCCTAATCCCTGGAGAATATTACTGCCATGTGAGCACCATAGTGTTAATAAAGATATGGAACGCTTCATGAATTTGCGTGTCATCCTTGCGCAGGGGCCATACTAATCTTCTCTGTATCGCTCCAATTTTAGTATATGTGCTGCCGAAGTGAGCACTGTTCCTACATCTCTTAGAACAGGTAAGGGCTTAATTCAGGGTCAGGCGCATCGTAGGTGTTTAGCAAAAGGCATGCAGGATGCTAGCCGAAGCCATCCAGTGTCAGGCTCGTTATTTCTCTCCTGGGGCCACTGTTTCCTCTTCGTGACCTCTTGGGACTCACCTGATTCAGCTGTAAAATGGGGATAATAGTATTTTCTAAGGTTGCTGTGAGGATTAGGTGAATTAGTTCATTTAAAGTGTTTAGAACCATGCCGGGCACATGGTCCATGCTCAGATATGAGCCATCGCTGGGAGAATCAGAGGCCAGAGCGTGTGCGTGTGTATCCTCCGGGTATCCCAGCTGTTTTCTGCTCACGATGGCCCCACCTGGGGCCTAACGACAGGAAATGCTACAGCAGGGGCAGGCACAGCAGGACTGCCTCTACTGAGGAGAAGCCTGGTCCTTGTGAGCAAATGAATGCGTGTTTGTGACAGGAGGCCCGACCTATGAGCATCTAAAGGTGCTGGGGAGACGGGGAGGGGACTCAAATCACAGGTGGAGCAGGGAGAGGAAGGGGGACCAGGGGCAACTGGGAGGCAGGAGACCCCTTGGGAAAGGCTACTGGCTGGACAGGGCAATAGGATGGAGGGCTTGATGGAGTCATGGCCAGTCCACTGCTGGCCTGACCTACGAGCTGAGGTGGCCCCAAGGCCTCAAGCCAATAGGGAAGTCCCCATGAGATGTCACCAGCCCCAGTAGACACTGACCCAACCTAGAAGCTGCTGCACTCGCCCCACCCCCAGCAAGGACCCCTACTGGCCTGGGCCCACACCCCTACAGGAGTAGAGGGGATCAGGCACAAAATACCTCCCCAGCCCCACTCTGGGTCCTCAGAGGTCCTGGCTACCCCACTTTCTTCCACCTGTGACCCTTTGCTGAGAACCCATCTAAGACCTGGGCTGAGAAACCCAGAGCTTTCCCAGTCCCTGCCTGTGCTGCCGCCAGACATCACCAATCAATCCTACCATGGTCCTGCTGAGCACTGGGCAGCTCGATGCTCTGACCCTGAGCTCCAGGCTTCTATTAGACTGGAGCTGGCCATCTCTGAGGGCGAGGAGACCCAGGGGAACTTTCCAAGGAGCCACAGCAAGGGAGTGGCAGAGCCAGCCTCAGACTGTTCTCCCCGAGAGCAGGCCACTGCTCACCAGGAGGGGGACGCCCGGCTTCTGCCTCAGTGACCACAGCCCCATGGAACACTAAGAGAGGACTCGAATAGTCCTCCCTATAGCAAAGAATGGTGGTGGCTGTGGTGGGGTGGCTTCAGGATTTGGGTTTAATCCCAAGCACGAGGGCGGGCAAGGAAAGGATTTGGTTTCGTTCCTTCAGATGCCCAAGCCTTGGCCGGAGCCCCAGGGCGCAGGAGTGAAGGCTCGTGGCCGCCCGGCCTCTACCAACAAAGCCTTCCTTTATTAAATAGAGATCGCGTTACATTCCATTCAAAGAAGGAAATCCTGACGGGGTGACAGATGTGTCCAGGTTGGAGCCCCTAACCCTGGTCCTGAGGGGGCTGTGATGGGTGAGGGAGGGCCGGGTCCTGCCCGCCCCACCCTGGCCCGACATGCAAGGGCCGGTTGTCTGCAGGGCCACCCACAGCTGAAAACAGGCACTGGCGTCCTGAGGCCCTGTCTGTGTCTTACCAATCCCTCCAGCGGTTTTGAGAGCAGGGCCTCTGAGAGCACAGGGCTGGATGGGGGAGGGAGGCGAGGTGACAGGGGAGGCCTTTATCAAGGGGCCCTGACTCATCTCAGAATGCTCTGGGGCAGTTCCCCAGCCACGCACAGGCTGGGTGGGCGAGCTGTGGAGGCCCTGCCAGCCCTGCCAGCCCTGCTGCCGCGGGCCCTCGCACGTCACTAAGGAATGAGGTGTGGGATGGCCACAGGGGGTGCTTGTGGCCCAGGGCTTGGGAACTGGGGTGGAGGATGCCCTGGCGATCTGGCCACCCCAGCACAGTCCCTTTCTGAAGATATGCCAGCAGTAAGGCACCCAAGGAACTGGGGAGGAGGTGCTGACCGCCTCAGCTGTCCCTTCCCAAGGGCTAAGTGCCCCCTCCACGCAGTAAGGCTCCGAGCTCCTTGGTCTTTGGTGCTTTCTTGAAATCCTCCTGATGGTTGCAGAACCCAGTGGGGACGAGAGAAGGGTCTTCTCACGACGTCCAGGCCTGTCTGTCCCAGGACAGATGTGTGCTGGCTCAGCACTGCCATGGCCTGTCCATTGGTCCATCTGTTTGGCTTCCGGCTCAGGGCTGGCTCCAGGACCCCGTCTCCCTCTCTGCCTGCTTGTCCTGGGGCAGGCGTTTGCTCCAGCTCAGAGCCCCCTCCAGGCCAGGCCATGCCCTAAGCCTCCTGGGGGAAGAAGCCAAGCTTGGCCAGCGACATCTCCTTCCGCAGCCTGGTGACCTCCCAGAACATCGGCTCCGCTGCAGGCAGAGGGAGAGAGTAGACAGCTCGGGGCCAGCTCAGGGCCACTTCAGGCAGATGGCCTGGCTCCCGCCCTCTAGCTCTGGGCAGGGCAGCTGGCACAGCACCCTAGGGCCCAGACCTTGAGGACAGATGACCTCAGCAAGTGGCTGGACCTCCTCTGAGGCTCCACTCCGAGCCTTGGAAACTGATGAGCGCTGAACACGCCGACACCACCCCCACGGCCTGATGCAGACATGCACGTGCACACTGCCACACACTCAACGGTGATGCCCCTGGACCCAGGAACTGCACCGGACAAGTTACAAATGTTTTCCAACTTCATCTCCCTGGGGTGTCACAGGGACCCTGAGCAGTGAATGGGGCCAGTGTCAGTCCAGGCACCTGGGAGGCGGGTCCTCAGGGACCATTCCCTGGCCTGGCAGGTGTGAACAGCCAGTGTGCACTGGCCTTGCTGTCCAAGGGGACTTGACCTCCAAGACGGGAGGAGACAGCTCCTTACTCAGAGGGTCAGGCAAAACAGGTTCAGGAGATTCGCCAGGGGGCAGGGTCTGGTGGCAGAGGACAGGGGACCTGCCAGGCAAGGGCTACAGTAGGAGCAAAGGCCTGGAGGTGGCAAGCCTGTGTTCAGGCGACCACGAGGTGATCACACCGGGAGCAGAGGAAGAGTCACAGGGGAGGTCCCATTGTGCAGAGCCTTAAACGCCAGGCTAGTAACAGGAATGCAGTCCCTGTTGGTCCCAAGGACTGCATTCCTGTTACTGGATTTCCTGCTTTCCCGGCAGGAGAAAGATCAGCAGGAGAGACCCAGGTACCCGGGAGGTGGCGGGCTTGCTGTTCTGTGAGGTGGGGCCCAGGAGGCTCTGCCTGCAGCTCACCCTCTCCACAGAACTCAGCAGCCAGGAGGTCTGTGAGCCCTTTACCAACCCACAACCTTCCCCCTCGCTGGCCTCCCCGCTGAGGAGCCCCAGCGTCCGCCTGGGCCATGGCCAGGTACACCCAGAAGGCCCTGGCCCTCCCGGCCCGGCCCGCCCCGCATGCCGTCCCGCCACCGACCACCAGGGGGCGCTCACCGTCCTGCCGCACCAGGCCTTGCTGGATGTAGCGGATGTAGGTGAAGAAGTTGCACACTGCGGTGATCTGCGGGCAGGAGTGGGGAGGGTGTGACCCGCCAGCCCCCACACCTGGGGTCCCCCAACCAGCCAGTGAGGCTCTGAGACCAAAGCAGGAAGCCCAGGTCCCCATCGGAGCCAGGTGGTTTTTCCCTGACTCAGACCGGGCTGGGCTTTAAGGTTTTAACAGCAGCAGCAAGACTAGTCCTGCTCCTAGTAGTAATAGCGGCAGCTACCCTTTCACCAAGCATGTGTCGCAAATGAGGCGGACGCGTTGATCATTGAGAGCCACCAAGGGCGGAGCCACTCGACAGAGATTATGGAGCTCGCCCAGCTGAGTGCGGAAACCAGGCTGGCGCAGACCTGCGCACCCTCAGGGGCCCGCTTGCTCTGGCTGGAGGTCTGGGCCAGCCGGGTCTCAGTGTGGTGCCATGTGTAACACCGGGAATGGCGAGGGCATCACAAGCTACCCACCTGGGTCCTGGTGCCTGAAGCCCCCAACCTGGCCGGAGGCCTGCTCCACGCACCGAGGGCCCTGCCTTGGCTCAGACCTACATGGTGGAGAGGGCGCTGGTGGTGCCCCACCCAGGGCCCCTTCCCCAGGCTGGGGCCCCATCTCCCAGCTGCTGGGCATGTTGGCCACTAATGGCCATAGGTGCCCCCACCTGCACCCCTACCCCGCAGACCTCAGCCAGTGGGGGAGGAATAAAAAAGCCCAGCCTCCATGCCTCGGGGTGGTCACAACTCTGCTCCAGAGCCCTGTGGATCTGGGTGGGCAGAACCTGGGCTCTGCTCACCCTGCTTCCCTCTCCCCTGAGTGCTGCATAACATCTACATCTTGGGCTCTGCTTCCAAGGGGCCCAGCCTGAGACGGTGCAAGGCGCCGGCAGCTGCGCCCACAACAGCCCCTGCTGAATGCCCAGTGCTCTGCGGGAGGGGGACATTGAATGGGACACCCATGGGCTGGGGAGGGGAGGGAGCCGCAGGGAGAGGTAATGCCACCAGGCCCTCAAACACTCAGGAGAACCTGCCAGAGGACAAAGGGGGGACGAGGGGTGGTGCTCAGTGGCCTGGCAAAGACAGGGTGCCGTCGGGAGCACCATGAGGTCAGGGGACTCACCCAGTGAGGCAGGAACACGGTGCTGCCCCACAAGGGTTGAGGAGAGGCTGCGAGGGGCGGCTAGGGCAGAGGTTGGGGACAGTGGACAATGAACACCCACAGAACCGCGGAGTTCTCTGCCTAGGGCTGTGCTTTGGGGCGAGACTCCTTCCCCCCGAAGACTCCACACCCCTTGGTGTCTCAGGGCGGGGACCACAACCTGAACTTCAGCCCCTCCGCATCTCAACTCCCACCCCCAGCTTCACCCAGCACGCTGGACGCCCAGCCAGGAAAGTCCAGTGCTAGATGGAGTCCTGCTGGCGAGGAATGTCTCGTGTGGGTCCTTCTGCTGGGCCCTGGTTGGGACTGGAATGGGGCAATGGGACAAGGCTCTGGGCACAAAGCTGCCACAGGGTCAGGGGCTGTGGCAAAAAGAGACACAGAGTCGGGGATCCCACATCTGGACTGTGTGGCCCTGGGCACACCTCTTTCCTTCACCAAGGCTCAGACTCCCTTTCCATAAATGGGCACCTGGTACACCGGAGGGAGAATTCACACTCACTGGAGCGTGGGACGACCCAGGTCAGGCTGCCCTCACCGTACAGACTGCTGCCCGACAGGGACACATGCCCACCGTAATCCGGCTCCCCCGTGAGGACCCCCTCTAGGTCTGAGTGAGTCCTCATGCCGTGGTCACTGTGTACATGTTTCCAAACACGCTCTCTTTTGTTCCTTTTGATAGGAAACCCTGTCCTTAGTCCCCAGCTCGGGGGAAGGTCCCTGCCTGGGTCACAGGGCAGGTGAGGGTGGAAGCTGGGATGCCCATGGGAGTGTCCCCAGCCAGCAGCCAGCAAGAAAACTGAGAGACCTCAGTCCCTCAACCACAGGGAACTGAATCCTGCTGATAGCCATGTGAGCTTGGAAGAGGACCTTGGACTCCAAAAGGGACCACATACAGCCTAGCTGACACCTTGACTGCAGCCTTATGAGTCCCTGAGCAGAGGGACAGCCCAGACTCCTGACCCAGGAGAACTGGGAAGTCACAAGTGCGTGTTGTTTTGTGCCACCATGCTGGCGGTAATTTGTCATGCAGCAGTAGCAGACTGCTACACTGAGCTTGGCCGTGTGGCCCGAGCCAGTCTCTGCACCTGTCTGAGTCTGCACCTGCTCCGTAGATGGAGGTGCAGTCCTGCTTGTGCTCCCAGGCCTGGGGCCCGGGGTCCCAGCCCACACGGCCCCTAAGGAGCCAAGCGACTCTTGCGAAGGATAACTCACCCTGGCCCGGGAGGATGGCGAGATGTAGTAGTGGCTCTTAGAGTCCCCGAGCCGGATGCGGTGGCGGCAGACACGGGCCAGCCCACTCAGGGCACACGTGCTGGGAGGAAGCAAAGCGGGGCGTGGGGCTGGCTGGGGCTCGCCTACCCGTGCATGCGGGGGACGCAGCAGCCAGAGGGTGCACGGAGGGAGGGGCAGGCAGAGGGAGCTCAGGGGCCAGGCTGAGGGGGGACAGCCCCAGCAGTCCTGGGACAGACCTTTATACCAAGCTGGACCCTACCCGGAGACCCTTAGTCTTGCCCTTATTGGGCACAAGAGCTTAGTTAATCTCAGCCAGGTATACCAAAGACCCACCCTCTGCAACCACCAAAAATGCCCCCCAACTTTACTGGGGGCCTCAGGCCCAGTCACCTGTTCCCCAACTAGGCAGGAGTTGGAGTGTGGCTTCCTCTCCCTTCACAGCACCAAGGTGCTCCCCTGCTTTGTCCAGCTGGCTCCTCCGGCCCTCCGACCCCCACGAGCCCGCCATGGTCCTCGGCTGCGTACCAACCAGCCCCTCACAGCCCCGTCCTGTGCCACCTTCTCTCCCCACCCCAGGCCTGGGCGACCTCACTCAGCATCTTCAGCCACCCACATACCGGGTGGCAGCTGGCCCCGAGAAACCCACCATCGGTCCCCCACCCCCAACTCCTGCTCCTCTCTGGGGCATTATCTGTTCAGTTCTCTCCTCCTCACCCCCTCCTTAGTCACCAAGTCCCCAGGCCAGGTCAAGGTAGCAGGGCCTTTGCCTTCCCCTCAGCTCCTTCCAGCCAGCCTCAGCCTCATTTCTCTCTTTCTTCTCCACGTGACAGTCAGGGGCTCCTCCAAAAACCCACATCCACATCTAATCCACCATCTTCCCCTTTTGCTTTCCTATGGCCCAAGAAATAGTTATGGAGAATCCCAAATCAAAGAAGGTTAAAAAGCTCCTTGGCTGCAGGACTTATCAGAGCATTTGTTGCCTTCTGGTTCACTGTGAATGGACCAGAGAGACCTCTTTTCAGGGAGCACCTGTCAATGGCTTATGGAGCACTAGCCTAGCTAGTTAAAGCCTGAACCTGTAAAGGCTCCTTACACTCTCATCCCAACACTCTCTGCGGTCCCAGCCCCAACTCCTTGCCCACTCACTGCTCTGCCCATTGCCCCAGTGGTGTTTCTGTTAATATCCCTGCTTCTCATACCTTCGCTCATTCTCTTCCCTCTGCCTGAAAGGCCCTGCCCTACTTGGCAAACTGCTATTCATCCTTCAAGACAAGCTCAAATGCTCCCTCTCCATGATAGAGGCTCCCAGCATGGCACCAGCCCCCACCCCCTCTGGCCACATCTTGGGCTGCCAGGAGGAAATCCTCCCCAATCTCTGCCCCTTGTTCTACGCTGACTGTTTTGTTCTGCGGCTGCCCCTGCTCAATGCCCGCTGAGCAGCGGGAGGACAGCTGCCAGGCTGTTGGGTTATTCATTGGCAGGAGCCAGAGCCAGCAACTGACAGTCGCTTCCGGACAGGGGCAGGAAGGGAGCTCATGTCAGGCCAGCCAGTGAGAGGGAGACCACAGCTCCCGGACCCCCTGGAGAGCCTGGGGGTCCACGGGGATTCTTCCAAAGATGTCTCCTTGCCCTGCATGGGGCAACAACAGTCCTCCTCCTATCAGGTGCCCCTGGGTCCCTGCCCACCCTCTGGCCCCATGCCAGGGCCCAGGAGGCCTGAGACTCAGTCCTCCCTGACCACCCCTTCGGTGCAGCCCAAGGCGCGGCGGGGCTTTCCCGGGTGGTCAGGACAGGGCTGGGGCGCTGAGCTTACTTGGCGCTGCAACACTCAACCTCAGCCACCTTCACTGCGGGCAGCGTCTGTGAAGCCACGGGCTCGATGGTGAGCGTGTTGTCCTCCACGGCGGCCCGTACCAGCGCGGAGAGCTGCGGCAGACCAGGATGGCAGGCGGGGTGGTGAGGGGCTGGGCCCCAGCTGAGGGGTGGAGGGGCCGGGCCCCCCAGCTGGCCACCCTCCCCCACCTCACCTCCTGCATCGTGAAGTCCAGGCAGGGGCCCACGTCCTCCCGGTACACCCTTTCCAGGAAGGGGCAAGTCTTGTCCAGGGTGGGCGATTCCCTCCAGGCCTGGAACTCTGCAAACAGGGTTGTGTCCACCTGCAGGGGAGGGCGAGCCGGGGCGGGGGCACTCAGGCGCTGAGGGCAGCATGGCAGAGTGGGGCTGGGCCAGAGGAGAGGGAAGGAGAGCCAGGGAGATGTGGGGCAGGCCCCAGCAGGCCGTGCAGGGGAGCAGGGCCCTGTGGAAGAACTCCCTTCTGCTCTTTGCACCAAAGAATTTACAACTAAAAGTTGTATTTCCAGGTATGTTTTAAGTTTCTTGGAGCTACAGGATCACAGACTCGGGTCCAGGGCCTCGTCCTGAAGACCCTCACTGCCTCCTCGAGGAGGAAAAGTGGAAGACTACACCGCAGGAACCCACGGGTACCGCGGGGACGGGAAGCACACACAGGCACGTGCACTCGGCGGGGACACACGGGCTGCCCAGCTGCCTGATCCAGGGAGCCAGGCCGGCCTCGTGCAGAGGGAGGGAGGTTGGGGGCAGCAGGGGGCAGCCCCTCCCTGGACCCATTACCTGTCGGGAAAAGGAGAGAGAGGGAGTGGAGGTGGGGGCCGAGGGCGGCTGCCCAGGCAGGAGCTGCCAGGCTGGCTCGTAGGTGAGGTGAACCGCCTTGCTGGGGACCACGCAGAGAAGCAGAGAGAGCAGTGGGGCCAACCCGGGCTGGGCAGGCAGGCCAGACAGACAGACAGGTGCACAGAGACAGAAGGAAGGAGGAGAGGTCAGTGTCCAGTTGGAAGCTCGGAGTCCAGAAGGTGAGCGAGACCCTACGCCTCCCACCTGGAAGCCCCGGTGACAGAGATGGAGGCTGGGACGGAGCAGGTGGGTGGGCACCAGAGACCTCTCCAAAGGCCACATTTGTCTCGGCACCACAGTCAGATGGCGCCGAGGACCCTCGAGTATAGGACTGTCGCGCAGTGGTCCTCAAGAGGCCCCGCGGCCCCTGCCCAGCCTCTGAAGGCCAAGGGAGCATGTGTCTCTGCAGTGGCCCTCAGAGGGCAGCCCCGAAGGGCCAAAGCCAGCCTCAGGCGCGGAGACCACCACCTACTGCTGGAGTCGGCAGGGAAGGGAGGGGTCCTCGGTGCCCCACAGACTATACACCCTGGAGGCTGAGGGCCAAGCGCCCCTATCATAGGAAGTTGACGAGAAGGAACCTGCCCAGCCCTTACAGCCCAGAGGACGCAGAGGCACAGAGAGGGACAGGGCAGGCGCCAGATCACACACGAGGGTCCAGGCTGGTCCCGGCTGGGCTCTGACCCTGCCGATGGCAGGCACCGTCTCCCCTTCCCTGTGCCCGCCGCCTGCCTGCTGCCCTCACCTCTTTGCCCTCCCTGTCTGGGGTGAGGGTGTGCCCTGCAGCGGGGCACAAGGCAGGGCAGAGGGCACTGCTGGTGCTCTTATGGCGTGAGTGGCCCTTTCGGGGCCCGGCCTTGGTGGGGCTCAGCAGCTGTGGGTGGAGCTCGCGGTTGGGTGAGGCTGGTGTGGACGTGATGACCAGTGTCTTCAAGGCTGTCACCTCCGCCTGCAGCATGTCGATCTGGACGGGATGGGATGGCCGTCAACCCCGGGCTTGATGCCACCCCAGCTACCACCGCCTGTCAGCCCAGCTCAGGACAGCCTTCCCTGGCAGCGACTAACACCTAACCCTGCATGTCACCCTTGGAACAGCAGTCGAGGCGGGGACCCAGACACCCATTTGACAGATAGGGAAGCTGAGGCTCAAAGAGGAGACATGGCCTGCCCAAGATCACACTGTGAACAGGCCTCTGTTGGGAACAAGTGTGTGGAAGCTGGCTGGGCTTCCCACAGAGTTCCCGGGCTCCCAGGAGCCAGGAATGGCTCCAGCCTCACATTTCACAGATGGGCAACCAGGCTCAGAGACAGGAAGCTACTTGCCCAGGCCCACACGGCCAGCCTGAGTGAGGTTTCTGCTCTGTGAAGCGGGGCTGGGAGGAGGGAGAAGAAATTACAATGACCACAGGATCCTCCCAGCCCCTGGAAGTCTCCAGAAAAGTCTCTGTGACAGCACAAATGACTAGTGGAGTCCCAGGGAGCTGGGCCGTGTGATCTCAGATACCCTGCAGACACCCCGCCCTGCCCTCCCTGGGCCCACTGGCCGAGCGAGGGTCCGGTTGGGTAGTGAGGGCCAGTGCTCGCTGGGCGGGAGGCAGGCTGGCCTGGGCAGGTGGGGACGGGCCTCACCTTGCCCCGAGCCTCCTTCAGCTGCTTTTCTGATGCTGCCTGCTTCATGTTGGCTTCTCGAACCATCTTGTGGGCTTCCTGGGAAGAGGACAGCCCCGGTGTGAGTGACCAGGAGCCAATGGACGTCTGGGTGACCCACCCCAGGATGCCCCCGCCCGCTGGCAGACCTCAAACAGGCTGGCGGTTAGCTCCTCCAGCTCCTGCTCCAGCTGCTCCCGCACCTTGGACAGACGCTCACATTCCTCGTCCTTCAGCTTCAGCTCCTGGGGGCCAGGAGGCAGGGGCCATTAGCCCCGTGGGGGGCCCCAGGCCTGGCACAGCAGAGACCAGGCCCACCTGACCAGGCTCCATCCCCCTGGTCATCTTACGTGGGGCTCTGGCCCCAGGCTTGCTTCCTCCGGGGCCTGACAGCGAGTGATGCATGTCGCGCTTAGCCCGGAGCACGAGGCGAAGCCCCTGCTAGCGCATTACGGCGTGGAGCAGGGTTCCAGGCAAGTCAGGAGCTGTGAACGTCGGGTACTTCCTGAGTGCCCAGCACAGGCCTGGCAGGTGGTCGGCCTTGGTGAGGGCAGGATCGCACTCCCTTTGGCACATCTCCAGGCACTCAGAGGGTGACAGCCTGCAGCTCTCCTGGGGCGACTCCTCCTCCCGAAGCCCCCCCCGCCCCCCCACCTGCCCACAGGCGCCCACCTTCTGCGCTTTGTGCAGCTCCTCCTTCAGGAACTCGGAGCCCTTCTCGCGGATCTCCATGGAAGAGCTGCGCAGGCGCGACACGTCCAGCTGGGCCGCGGCAGGGCCCTCCTCACCTTGGGCCTCCTCCCCTGCAGAGGTCTCCACCAGGGCTCCTGGGGACTCCCTGCGGCCTTTGCAGGGGCCCACACTCTTCCAGGGGACCCGGACAGCTGAGAGGGGCGGCGGGAGGCCCTGGTCTGGCTGGGGCGGGCTGGAGGCAGACAAGAGGATCAGACGGCACAGGATAGGGTCCCGAGACCCAGAGAGCTGAGTCCAGGGACTGACCTCGGGCAACGCACCTGCCACTGGGGCCTCAGTCTCTTCATCTGAAGATTGGGACACTGCCAGCTATCATCAGGGTTGTCACAAGGGCAAATGACCAGGCACAAGGCCTCTTGGGGGCAAGGACAAGGCTCATTCCTCTATCAACCACCCCCTTTGGCCCAAGGCCTAGGGCTGTGCTTGGCACACAGTAGGTGGTCAGCACACAGCTCAGCTGTGTACACAGATGACTGCAAATGCACCGGGGTGGAGAACAGGAGTCTCTGCTCTTATAAAGTGGAGCCGATTCCAATGACCCTACCTCACAGGTGACGCCATGATCAGAGGGGACGTGTGTCAAACCTTGGCACCCAGGAGGCACTTAGGCGGAAGCTGCCTTCATTGACACGGTTAATGCAAATTCTACCCCTTTGGGGCCGGACCAGAGAGGAAGGACAGGGCAGGGCCAGGGCAGACAGGGCCGAGGCAGGAAGATGCTGCCAACAGCCTGGGCAAGGCAGACAGGCTTCCTGCCCCTCTGGGCTTGGCGGGGAGCAGTCCTAGCTCTCCCTGGCCTGCCTTGTGACCTCAGGACCCACCCCTCCCTGAAGGGGAAGACCCTGGAGGCAGAGCAGGGCCTGTGCTCCCACCCCGCCCCATCCACACTCCCCTCTTGGAAGTGGACCCTGGAGAGGGAAGGGAGGGACAGGGCTCGGCCAGCGGTGGTTTGTGCCAAGACAGCACCTCTGGACTTGCTCACTCAGCAAAAGCTGGAGGCTCCTGAGCCAGCAGCTTCTCAGCCGCAGCGGCTGGACTGGGGGGATGGGGGGAGGCCGAGCCCTGATATCAGTGGGGGAAGTGGGGGGAGGGGGCTGAGAGAGGCCTGCACAGGACAGGGGAAGACAAGGCCAAGGAGATCATGGGACTCAGGATAGCAGGGGAGGAGGCTGTGTGTGTAAGTCTGGGGACTGATCCCACTCCCTGTCCTCAGGACCTTGGAAAGGTCACCAAACAGCCCCCAAGCTTGTTTCCCCCTTGGTAACACAAAGGGACAGCACCGAGAGACCCCAGCATGAGACCACTCCCAACCCTTCACATGGCCCCGTCCAGTGGCCCAGCCCAGCCTGCCCTCTGCTCTGGGGCTGGCCCAGAGTGTGGCCTCAGGCTCCCCGGATGGTCCTGCCTGGCAGAGACTGGGGCCTTGCTGATTAAGGGGGGACACACACCCCTCACTCCATCAACAGTGTCTATGCCAGACAGCCTTGTTGGGGAGTGGGGGCTCCTGTTGGCAAGGGGCTCCTGAGGCTTGAGGGGCTATGGCAGCCCCTCCCCTACCCCAGCAGTGCTGTGGTGGCCTCATGGGCTGGGGTCTGCAGCCAGGGGACTCACGCTGTGCCAGACTCTACACAGGGGGCCCCAGCCACATTATCTCGTTTAAAACTCTCCACAGCACTCGTGGTATTATCCCCATTCTGCAGATGCGGGGACAGAGGCTCAGAGAAGGGACTTGCCAGGGTGCTGGGACAGGTGGCCAGGTCTTCAGTCCAGGCCCAAAGCTTCCCAGGTACAAGGGAAGGCAGGGGGCAGGGGGGTGACTGTTAGATTCGGTGCATCTGCCTCAAGATCAAGGGCTACTGGGCCCAGGGGACTCGGAGGCTCCTCTTTGGCTGTAGCAGGGAAATCTGACCCAATTCCAGCCCAAACTGGCTTCTCAGACTCTGCTCAGGCCCAGAAACCACCTTTCGGGGGGATGGGATTGGGCTGGGGGAGCTGTGGCTAAGAACACAGGCCAGCGTCGGGCAAGCCGGGGTCCACGCCAGGCTCTGGCCTGGGGTACACGAGTCCCTGGGAATGTTACTGATGCTGTCTGCCTCATGCTGGCTTCTCAAACCATCTTGTGGGATGGGAAGAGGACAGCCCCAGTGTGAGTGACCAGGAGCCAATGGTAGGAAGGGGTTAAAATCCTGTGGGAGGTGCCCTAAGATTCAAACAGAAGTCACCTGGCATGGTGCTGGATAAAGTGTTCAACCCACAACCACATTTGGCTAAGACACCCACACGCCTGCCCAGGCTCTGGGTGTCACAGCTGAAACCGCAGGCCCCAGGGGAGGGGGTGCCCTGGAGTCCAGCCCCGTTTCCTTAGCTGGGAGAGGACTTCCATAGTCACTTGGGCTGGGCTGAGCGCAGCAGACCCCACCATGGAAGCTGCCCACTTCGACAGAATGAGCAAGAACTGCAGGCCGAAGGCAGGGGGTGACCCACAGGACAGCACAGAACATGGGGCGGGATCTCAGGTCTCAGACGCCCAGTGCTGGTGCCTTTCCCATGGCTAGGACCACTCCGCCACTGCCTACACCCCCAGCCTAGGAGAACCAAGCCACCAGCGTCTCCCATGGGGGCTGGGCCTCCTGCTGGTCCCAAGGGCATGGGCTGGAGGTGTGGCTGGACAGTCCCCACCATTTGCCCAGCAGGCTCTCACTTCAGCCCACTGCTGGGGGGATGGGGCCCAATTCTGCAGCCAGAGGAAATGGTGGTCCAGGAGGCCTGAGACAGTCTCCATGACACCCTCCCCATGCCCCCAGTGGCAAAGCCCAAAGCCAAGTCCTAATGGCAGGAAGCGTGGGAACAGCAGGACCACCCAGTAGCCACCAACTCCCCAATGCCCGAGCTAAGAGTGGCAGGAGCAGGAGGGGAAGAAGCCCCCTCCCCACCCCCTGCTTGGAGGGTAGCTCAAATCTGCAGATCCTCCTCCCGTATACTTCCGGGCTGTGAGGCCAGTTCCTGTGACTCAGAAATTTCAGAGCAAGGAGGGACCCTGGGGCCCTTGGGGCCAGTCCAAGCCAGATTTCTCTGTCTTGCACACACTCAGCCTCCCAGACCAGAAGCCCCAATTCCTGAGTGTGAACACCTGAGGTGGCGGGGAACTCGGTGCTCAGGCAGCCGGACTAGCAGTCAAGTTCTCCTGCCTGACATCACTCCCTGTCCTCTGCCCAGGTCCACACTCTCTGCTCCCACCTCTGCAGGCCCCATGCCACGCAGAAACGGAGTCCAGCAGCTGGGATAAGCTGCAGACACCCCTCGGCAGGGGCCTGCTCAGGGTAGGAGTCAGTAAGGTCAAGGTCAGAGGTACACGGGGCAGCCAACATCCCCATCTCAAAGCCAAGCCAACTCCCACTGTCTAGAGTCCCAGGCAGTTCATGCAGGAAAGGCCCCACTGGGTCACTTCCACAGGAAACCCACAACAGGGGAAAAAGCAGCAATCACCGTCCTCACCCGCCAGGCCTGCCCTCAGAGGGCCAGCAGGGCTTTTGTCCCAACCCACAAAGCCCTCAGTCACTCAGTAAGCCCCCTGGGCCAGGAGGAACTGGCCAGAGGCCGCTCCTGGGGCCAGAAGGGCCCAAATGGGGTCCGAGTGGCTCTCTGAGGGTTCCGACGCTTCCCAGACCAGCCTGCCCACGATCAGTGCCCAGCATGACCCTGTTCAATCATCGCCTGGAGTTAAAGAGCCCCTGTGTTAGCGGGCACAATGGGGTCATTAAATAAGCGGGGGCGGCGGGAAGGAGTGGCCGGGAGGGGGCACTGCCCAGGGCCCCAGGCCTGAGCTCCAGGGGGCTACAGAAACCTCAACCCAGGGCCCAGCTCCCGGGGGGCAGTGCCATGGCACAGGGGCCCGGTTCAGACTCACATTCAGGCTGTCCAGCAAGGCCCTGAGAGCACTGAGGCTGACAGCCACATGGGACCAAGGCGGTCCCACAAAGAGGTTTGTGTGTTGGCTCTCGGACCAGTCTGCAAGCCCAGCAGGGCTCAGCCTACAGAGAGGGGCCAAGGCTTCAGCCCAAAAGCCACAAGCACGTCAGGTTCCCAAGGTCTTGGCCACGTCCACGTCGGCCCACCACTTGGAGTATCCACAGGTGTCACTGCCTGCAGGCCCCTGAGGACACTGCAGAGAGATGTCCCCCAGCCCGGGATGAGGCACCCAGAGAGGATGGTGACTGGCTTGAACACACAGCAAGGACGTGGCAGGGTGGGAACTGAACCCGGAAAGCAGGCGCAGCACGCCGCATGACCTGTGGCCCAGAGGAAAGGGGATGAATGATGGTTTCAGAGAAGCGAGCAGGATGCAGACGGGGTTTGGGGAAGTTTAAGACAGTGTCTGGTGGTGCTGCTGCTGGAGGTGGCGCCCAGCACTGCCGTCCAAGCCAGGCACGGCCTGGGCTCTCAGGAGACCCACAGAGGGGCCAAAGACCTGAGGGGGAATTGTGGGAGGACCAGTGGCTGATGGGGGCAGAAAAAAGTAGTTACAGTAAGAACTAATTGAGCTAACTAGAAACCAAGGAAAAGGTGAATGAGAACAGTGGTACCCACGACGGAATGAGGAACTGGGAGTGGGTCTTGCAGGGACGGGAAAAGGGGTGGCTGAGGCATTTGGGAAGTGGCATGTCCTGTAGGCAGAATGAGGTGACAGCTGTTGGGAGGCACCAGCTCAAGGAAGCAGCCACAGCCTGAGCCTGGCCAAGGGGCTGACAGAGGGGACGAGGCCCAGAGAGGCAGCCAGAAGAGCGTCACGCACCTGAACCGAAGAGTGCCTGGGACACAGGCACGGTGGTGGGGGGGCTGTCTTGAGTCTTGCTGAGGTTAGGGCTGGAGTTGGACCGGATCCCCTAAGCTCAAGGCCAGGAGGGGGCCAAAGGGACAGGCGGGAGACAGGCTGGGCCCGGACCCTCCGGGAAGGAAGGCAGGTGCAGGGGTGGGGCAGCAGGTCCTGGTAGGAGATCTGCAGGAGAGGGAGAGGTCAGGCACAGCCTGGGGATGGGAAGCAGGTGGGCCGGGCCAGCCCTCCCTGCTGCAGCCCCAGGCGGGCCGAGCCCAGCCCAGCCCTGAGAAGGGAATGTAGCCCTGTCTCTCCCCTGGGAGCCAGCACAAGGCCTGGGGGGGTGGGGTGGGGGTGTCTCACTCCTTAGCCAGGGCAGGGCAGGGCACAGAGTCCATGCCTAATACCTGCCTGAGCCGTCCCTGCACATTGAGTCCAAGAAGAATTGACCCCCCAAGACTTCAGACATCCAATGTGCATAGTGAGCTCCCAGCATGTGCCGGGCACCCCACCGGCCCAGATCCATCCAGTCTGTAAGACAAGGCGGCTTCTGGCAGCAATATCGCCGGTCCCCTTCTCCCTACATTCTACTTCATTTTGCGCCTCCCTCCCCCCTCTTCACTTCCCAGGGCACATTGGGCACAAATCCTGTGCAGAGGCTGGGAGAGTCTAGGACACGCAGGACTCTAATGAGAGTCTGTGCCCACACATAAATGTGCTGATTGAGCAACAGCGGAAAAGATATCTCCATCTGTGGAGAGGTTAGTGTAGACACATCTTGGAGGGCTTCCAGGAGGCAGCGACAGTGAGGACTCTACAACCCTTTTCCAACGAGGAAGACTACCTGCCTGACCCTGGAGGCCTCAGGCCATATTTCAGACTCTGCAGGCAGGAGCTTCCAGGTCCACGTCCCTTAGGGTAGCCAAGGCCCAGAGCAGTTAAATGACTTGCTCCAGATCACACAGCCAGCCAATAAGTCAATGGCACCTGCAGCCCTGGAGCCCCCAGCCTCCTGCTTGCTGCAAAGGCACAGTCCCCAATCCCTGGGAGACTAGGGTGGTCTCATCTCAGTCCTGGGCAGGCCATCCGAGCCTGGCCTTCCCTAGAGATAGGTACGATTAGCTCCATCTCTCAGATGGGGAAACTGAGACCCAGGAGCTGCACCAATGTCATGTGGGAACCCAAACTCTGACCTCTGCTGACAAAGTTCCAAGTGCCCAGCGCTGTGTTAGATGTAGAAGCTACCCACGATGCCGTCCTCACGCCATCACCTTGGAGCACGCTTGGCACCCAAGACTATGGATGTGTGAAACTGTGGGGGATGGGGAGGGGAGCAGCCCAGTTTGGAGTCGGGGGCACCTTAAAGTCAGACTGGAGCCGCCTCTGGGTTCAGAGTTCAGGGCCCATGCTTGGGAGTCCCAGGGAAGAGGGTCCACCGAGCTGCTACAGAGGCCAGGCACTGTCGCCGACCCCCAGGAGAGCAGCCTGGGCCCAGGGCCAGGATCTGACATTAACAGAGCACAGCCACCCAAGAGAAAACTCTCAGTTCATTTTACAGGTGAGGAAGCTAAGCCCTAGAAACATCAATGGCCTGGCCAGGGTCACCAGCTCCTAATCCCAGACTCCTCCTAGTGTAGGATCAACAGCACAAGTCTACACGTGCCCGGAGCTGTCATGAGCTCCTGGGGGGACACAAGCACAAGCAGCTTAGTCAGAGTTACCTGGGCAAGTATGACTCTGAGCAAGGTCCCTCCCAACTGCTGTTGGGATCTGAGTGAGATCCCGGGACACCAGGCCCCTAAGGGGTGCTGGCAGCTTGGCCCCTGGTCCCTAAATCCCTGCTTCCACATCCATAAAAATGTAGTGCTCAAGGTAATCCCAAAACTCTGCCTCTCACCCTGCAAATGTCCAGCTCCTCACTGCCCCTCATCCTTTCCATCTGCATTTATGAAGCACCTACTGTGTGCTCAGCACCCAGCTAGGTCCTGGGGGATCCAGAGATACTATGGGAAGTGAGCCATACTGAGGGTTATGTGGGGTCAGCTTGGCAGCCTGGTCCATCCAGAGGGTCCTGGGGCTGTCGTGGGGAGGCTGGACTGGGGGCCTTGCCCAGGACCTTGAGTCTCTCTGACTCTCTTGTGAAGTGAGCATCCATCTAGCGGTGGCTCCCAGCTCTGCCTGGCCCTGGCCTGGATGCCTCCAGGGAAGGGCATTCTCCAGGCTGGGATCACTTCCACCCCACAAACCACTTACTTCACCTAGAGGCCCAGAGAAGGGAGGCCATACTCTCAAGGTCACACAGCAACTCAGTGGTTGTGTTTTGCCTGGGTCCACCCAACACAAGGGATCAGAAGCTTCCGGTAGACCAGGCTGCTCCTCAAACGCATTTAACGGCCCCCCCACCACCCACTGCACACCCCCCCATGCCACACCCCATCCCTAGGGCAGGATTGCCCCAACCTTTCCAGGAAGCACAAACCCACCTCAACCACTTTCTCCCTAAGCTCGGCCTCCTTCCCCCAGGGCACTACGCCAACAAATCCACTTCAACTCTCTCACCCCTACCAGAAGCCCACCCTCTCAGCAGCCCTGCTGGCAATGAAGCCTCTTTCCACCCTAGCATCTGGGCTCCAGCTCTGCCGGGTGCACGGAGTGAGGTGCCTCCCGTCTGCTCCCCAGGGGGCTTCCCTCACTTCCAGCTGTGGCAGGGAAATAGTTGGGTCCTGGGACCACCCATCTGACCCAGTTCTTCACAGGAATACAACCCACCCCTGCTCTGGCCACATTTCTTCCAGGACCTGGTCTTTCCAAGCCGTGGGGAAGAGGAAGTGTTGGCCCAGCTCCGCGAAAAGCCCACAACCTTTCTGCACACACCGGGCAGCGGTCCCACATCAGACTGGCCAGAACTGGAATCGCCTCTGAGAACCAATGGCCTGAACAGATCCAGGTACTGGGGCTCCGAACCCAGGACTCGGAGTCTGTGCTGCCCCGCTCCAGGATACGGACAGGTCCCACCCACACTCCGGAGCCCCCCCCCAAGGAGGTCCTGCCAACAACTTGGGAGCGACGTTGGCGGAGACCCAGCCCCCTTTCCCAGCTGCACTGCTTTCCAAGAGTTCATCCAGCGGGGGCGGGGGGCGGGGGTCCCCTCCTCCAGATGCGAGCCCCGGGTTTACTTTGGCGAGCGCGGACTCCCCCCGCCCAGCACCCTCTTCTCACTCGCGCTCGGGATGAGCTGGGAGCTGGCGCTGTCACAGCGGGACGGTCAGCGCCCGCCTTCGCACTGCCCAGCGCGGGACAGGCCCGCTGCCCCCCGCCGCGGAGTGTCCTGCCATGTCCCCGGCTCGCCCGCGCGCTCAGCCGCACGCAGGGTGGGGTGCAGACACGGCGGGGACCCCCGTCCTCCCGCCCCGGGAGGCGGCGCGGCCCAGACCCGGCGCGGGGCGGCGAGCGCGCGGACCTACCCGCTCCACATCCCGGCGCCTCGGGGCGCCCGGGCGTCCGTTCCCCGCGCCGCCGCCGCGTCCTCCCTGCGCCGCCCCGCGCCGCGTCCCCGCCCGCCGCCGACTCCGCCCCGGCCGGCCGGCCGCCCGCCGCCTGTCAGTCCTGCCAGTCGCCCGGGTCGGTCTGTCTGCGTCCGGCTCGCGGCCCCCGGCCCAGCGCCGACCCTGCCCTCGCGGGTCACGTGGCCGAGGGGCGGCCCGAGGACACGTGCCCGGCCCCGCCCCTCCGCCGGCCGCTCGCTCGGGGACAGTGCGACTTGCCGAGTCGGGGGAGGAACCGGCTCGCCAGCACCCCGTAGCCAGCGCGGCTCTCAGACTGTCCCAGCGGATGCTCTCCCTCCAGTCACCCACCGCCCCACCCACCCTGGCCCACCCCTGCTCAAGAACCTACAATGGCTCCCCGGCTCTCAGCTCTCTGATTCTCACACAGACTGTCACTCAGGCCAGCTGACACTCTCCCACCCCCTCCCCTGGCCCCGGGCCATGTACTCCTTCCCTGGGCTCTGTGCTTTGTGGCTGCCCCCTGCAACATCCTGCCTGCTGGGAAGGGAGGTGGGGACAGGCCTCAAAACAAGTTTTCTGAGTCCTACTCTCTTGAGTGTTTATCCCCAGCAAGTAGCCACCTTGGCCCAACTCTCAGCACCCAGTCTCCTGCCTCTGAACATAGTGCCCATTCTTGCCTTTGCCCGCTATCTACCCGCTAGAGAATACCACCCCCACCCCCAACACACTCACACACCTGTCTGGTCCCATGTCCCCTGTAAAACCTTTCCCTGAATCCCAGACCCCTGGTCTACCTGTCCCTCAGTCCCTCTGTCCCACCTATCATGAGCACTGACCATTGGCCTCAATTTCAGCTGGGCCTGGGTCCGGTGAGAGCAGAACCGTTCTCCCCAGGGCCCGCGGCGCCATCCTGCGTGTCTGCGGGAGGACTGGGGGTATGGGGGAAGCTATTTCCCCTTCCAGATGCCACCAGAACTCTGAGCACTACTCTTCCAGGCTCACTGACTCTGGGGCCGCAGGCTTGAGTTTGTCAGATCATCATGGGGGACACCATTCCTTCATTCATTCACTCATTCTTTCATTCAGCCACCCCATCTGAGCATGAGCTATGGGCCATGCGAGGGCTGGGGACCCAGAGGGAAACTGCACAGACAGGCTCTGCCCTCCTGGGGCTCCAGTATGGTGGGGGATGGGGGTGGAGGATGGGGGGCATACAGACCTCGACTTCCAGAGCCACTACTTGCCTACAGCACACCTTGCCAAGTGAATGATGTCTTTGTTCAAAATAGAATATGGTGCTCCTTTCTCAGGTGGGCACGGCTCACACCAAAGTATAGGACTTGGTGAGGGGAGGCCAGGCTGGATTTCATGCCTTGCTAGCTCCCTTGTGCAGTGAACAACCTGAACAGCCCTCCATGGCATCCCTTCCAACTTTCCATAATCATTCAGTCCAGGCCCCCCCCTGCCCTTGATGCCGCAGGGCAGTTGTTTCCATGACTAGGGCTTCCAAAGGGCAGGAACCAGCTCCTTCTTGGGGCTCTGTTCCCCCACCCACCTCAGCCCAGCTCAGGGTCTAGCCCACCCAAAGCAGATGTCAACATATGTTTGTTGACTTGAATCCTTCACCAAGTAAATCTTGAGTAATTGCTGTCTTCCTGCCTCTTGTTCTGTTCACCATTTAGGGGAAGGAGGAGAATATGACACAAAGAAAGCCCAGGACAGGGCCTTTGCCCTCCGAGTCTTCACAAGCCCAGACAGGAGACAAGTTGTGGTAACCCGGACCAGAGGAAGATAAAGTGTGGAGGAGGCATCGGCTCAGGACTACGGCCCCAGAGGAAGAGTCCTCAGCCTGGGAGGGCTGGTGGACTGGGGAGGCCCTGGAGTGAAGCCTCGAAGGACAAGCGTGTCATCCTGTCATCCATGCATGCAGCTACCATGGACTGCCCTGCCAGGCCTCACTGCCTCCCCCGAGAAACACAGCCGACCCTGCGCCTCAGCTGATAAGGAGGGGCTCAGAGAAGTCAAGGAACCCGCCTGATATCGCATAGCCAGGGCTGGCAGGGCTAAGTCCCCACACACCAGTTTTGCAAAAAGACTTCCCAGCAACCAGAGGGCTCGTTGGAAGCCACAGATGCATGCAGTCAGGTTACTGGGCACCTACTAGGTGCCTGGCCCAGCAGGTGGGGAGGGAGAAATAAAAGATGTTCCTCTGCCCACAAGCCACTGCCGTCCCCGCCCTCCCTCCCTCTGTCCCTTCCTCCCTCTGTCCCTTCCTGTCATCCCATCCCCAACCTGCCAGCCTGGACCACAGACCCTTGGCTGAAGGCAGATGTAGAGCAGGAGACCGTGTCAGCATGGACGACCCAGGCCCTGATTCTGGAGTTAAGTCTGTCCTCAGCTCACTGTGTGACTCAGGACAAGTGTTTTGCCCTCTCTGAGCTTTGGTCTTCACCTCTGTACAACCACCAAGTTGGACAAAACAATCAGAGCCACCTCCTGGTATTGACCTTGTAGGAGGCTCTAGAAGTTCCTCATAGTTCCTTGCCAGTCCCCTGTACGGAGATCGGCTTCTCATACCCCCTCCCCAACCCTGCGTCCCTGCAGAGTGGCAAGGTTCCCCCTCCCCTCCATGCCCCAGAGCCCTAGCTCACCTGTCTGTGCCCCAGGGCTCCTCTCCCAAGCTCCTCTCAAGTGCAGGGCACAGGCCTGATGGGGCATAGCAGACAGTGCCTGAGCTCATGGCCAGGAACACTGGGCATGTCCCGCGGGCAGGGCACCTGGCGGGCTCCTCAGGGGGGTCCATGCTTGGGGGACCAGTCCGATGTGGGTGCCTCTGCAGACTGCCAGGAAGGCAGGTGGCAGAAGCCTTCTCCCCACCCCCAGGCTGAGACTCACGCTAACCTTTGCTATCTCCCAGGAGCAGCCGCTGGGAGGGAGGCGCCTCCCAGACAGGCCTCTATCCCCTTAAACCCCATAATTATTAACTCCGGTGGCTCATCGGACAGCAGAAGACACTGGGGCCCTCCTTTCTGGGCTCTGGGCCAGGGCGGGTGAGACAGCTTGGCGGGGGGGAGGTGGGAGGCCTGAGGCCCCAGGCTTCACCCAGGCCCACGGTGGGGCTGCCTGTCCCCTCCCCACCAGGCTGCTTCGTGGAGAGAGCCTGTCCAGTCCCGCCCTCTCATAGATGGCTGTGCGGCCTCAGGCCCTTCCCCTGACTACCCCAGGCCTCAGTATCCCCTTAGAACTTCTAACCACCCCTGCCAAGGGACAACTCAATGTGGCAGTTAGGAATACAGCCTGGAGTCAGCCAGGCTGGATTCAATCCCACTTCAGACCGTGAACCTTTGCGCATGTCAGCCTCTCTGCGCCTCAGTTTCTCCAGCTGTAAAATGGATGCTACAGCTGCCATTGCCCAGACATGCCCTGAACCACACCGTCCCCTCTTTCTGGAACCTCCACCCCATCCCATTCCTACTAACAAATTTCTCTTTTGCTCCTACCCTCTCCTCCAGGAAGCGCCCCCCTCCACTCCCCACCCCCGGGATTGCTTTCTTCCTCTGCAGGCACTGGGCTGGACCCTCAGACACGTGAGTCATGACAGATGCCCCATGGAACTGTCAGACACTCCCACAAGAACTGGCTGACTCTGTGGGCAGAAGCCGGCTTGCCCCCTTGCCTGGCACATGGTCAGCCTCAATCCACCTGTGAGATGGTTTGAATGTGCCGCCTTGTCTCATATGGCCTGAATTCTAATCCTAGTTCTGCCATTCCCTGGCTGTGTGACCTTGGGCAAGTCACTTAACCGCTCTGGGACTCGGTTCCCTCGTCTATAAAATGGGAACATTCTCCCCTGTGAAGTAGCGAATATCAAAGAAGATAGCCTTTGTGAAGTGTCAGCCACAGTGTAGACTGAAAGCAGAGTTTCCTACTCCCTTCTCCCTCGACTTCCTTCTTCTTTCCCATCAGCCTCTGAGTCCTTGCTGGGGAGAAGCCGCCAGTTCCTCACACCCCGCCCAGCTGAGCGACTGGATAACAGTATCTCCCACTCGGCTGTGGGCTTCAAAGCTCTCAGCCTAATGCGAACCAGATGCTGGCCTCCCTCTCCTGGCAGTGAATTTTCCGTGGCCTGCTCCCACCCCCTTCCTGTTTTCGCTCCTCTCTGATCCCCCTGCTGAATTCCCCCGTGCCCCCACCTTCCTCTGCCCGGCAACTTCGAGGCCCACCTGGAAACAATTAATGGAAAACAGGATGTGAAGGGGGGAGTCTCCCCATCACCCCAACATGGCAGGAGGGGAAGGCGCTCAGCCTGGGGGGCAGCAAAGTATGTGGGAGTTGGGCCCTCCCTGCCAAGCCCCGGCCAGCCACCTCGGGGGGGAAACCGAGTCAGAGTTGCTGGGGACTGTACAGAGAGATGTGTTACTTTCCGGACATTTAATCACAGCATGGGCTGGATGGGGAGCTGCGAGGACCTTGGCCTTGGCTGTGGCTTCTTAGAAAAACCAGAGCCGGAAAAGGCTCGATCGTCTCCTCTTGCGTATGAGGAAACTGAGGCTCAGAGACTCACCCAAGAGGCAGCCAGGTCTGGGCCAGCTTGTCAGGAAAAGCTGCAGCCCGAAGCCAGCTCCCCTGCTTGCTGTCTCAGCGTCATTCCTGCCTGCCCTCCCCCTGCTGCCCAGCCCAGGCAGGATCGGTCACGAGGGGAGGGTCACAAGACCACCACCCTCCTGCCTGCCTGCAGGCGCTGCCCAGCCACCTCTGCCGCTGCAGGCTGGGGCTGCCACGCACACCCAGCTGGGCAGCCTCTGAGGCAGCCATGTCCTCCCCAGCAGGGACTGGGCACTCAGCAGGGGGCTGTGGGCAGGCCCCAGGAAGGGGCTGTGGGGGTTGTTCTTCCTTTGTGCCCTCAATCCTGTGAACCCCCTCAGGGCAGCCAGAGCTGGCCCTCAGAGTGAGGACTCCCCCATTTCCATGAAAACAGCCCAAGGGCTCCCCAAAGCAGCTGTAGGCCACCCCTCCCTCCCGCCAGCCAGCTGCGCAGTGTTTGGACAACTGGATGGAATGTTTTGCAGCCAAAGTCCTCCCTGGATCCCTGAGCTCAGATTTCAAGAGGGAGGGAGGAGAGGATGCTGGCTTTGGCTCCAGGGAGTGGGGAAGA